TACAGCCACCAGAGGGCGCTCTCGGCTTGTGACAACTGATATTGCCTGCTCCTGTAACCACTGAAAAAAACGAAGAAGAGAGCGAGCGGTCTTCCGGGTTAGCTGCTTGTTAGCCATCTGTTGTATAGCAGTCTTGTTACTTTGTGAGCCGTCTGTTGTTAGCCACGCCCGTCTTGTGTCCGGGCGGCGAAGGGTCCACCCCTACCAGCCCAGCGGCCGAATGCTCAGTGGGTGCGTTCCTGAGATGCCCCGTCTTCCCAGCAGTCCTCCGTCGGAGCGCGTCAAGGGGAGAAGCATGCCACCCTATGCCCGACTCGCATGAGCCAGCCTCCCAGTAGAAGGTATTGGTTGCGTTAAACATACCCGGACCTGTGTGTTAATACTTCCTTTCCAGTTACCGTAAATGTAATGTTATTGGTTGGATTTGAAATAAATACTGAAAAAGACGACTTAAGTTCCGGTCGCGACCTTAAGACGGTTTTTTTCCTCTTCACGACGCATTTATTGGCGATGCGACGTATACTCAGGAGCGACTTATAGTCCGGAAAATACGGTACACCATTTTGACTCCCCGCCGTTTCCCAATCTCGAGGAAACTGGCTTCCAAGCAATATTTCAAGGATGCTACGTCATCGAGTGCCGCCGAAGGACTGGCCAATCTCCCAGCATACTGGAATTCAACCGGGCCAGCGTCCTTGGTTTGGGGTAATTTCGAGGCTGCACTGGTAGACTTCGCCGTCCTTAAAATCCCCACAATTCTTGCGCACGGAACAATTACCCAAATCGTGTGGGAAAATGTAAGGCGGGCCCTCATATGACGCCACCCTGCACACTTGCAGCGTTCCACTCTTCGTTTTCCGATGCCAGGAAGGTTCTTGGCCTAGTCTTCTGAAAGGAAGTGACTCGGAAGACATGGTGCTAGCCGAAGCAAGCATCCTCTGCGATTGAGAAACGGCCCCTGCATTACGTGATTTATTAGTATTATTTCTCCCCCCCTTTTCATTTGAACAGATGGAGGAGCAAACCAAAAAGAAGCAAGAAACGGGAGGAAAAGGGAAGAAGAAGGAAGAAGAAGGGCAGTGACATAAGAGCTTGGAGGACAGTGATGACGGAGACAACGAGGTCTAGAGGTGGATACATGTCAGATGAAGGCAGGTCAGACACCCACACTATACAAAACAGTTTTTGGCTCGTTGTATTAATTCTTTGAATAGTGAACCTCTGTTTTCCTTCTGCAGTTCAGACCGAGGAGCCAGAGAAGAAGAGAAGCAAAGGAGAGGACCACCCCAAAGGTCCGACTTATGACTGTAATTCCATGTTTACGGCCTAACTGCCACCACTGAATGAAATGATAGCGTTAAATAGGTTGTTCTACATCCAATATTTGTTCCCTTTTACAGGAATAGACGAGGCGTCTGAAAGTGAGGAGACGAGTGAGGAGAGAACAGAACGAAAGACCAAAAGAGAAGAGAAGAGAACGAAGAGGCGAAGACAAAACGCGCAGCTCCAGCAGAAAGAAGAAGAAAAAAGGTACAAGAACTCGTGGAGACCGGATGAGGGTCGGATAACAATCGCATTCACAATTCTGTTCTGCTTGAGGAGGTCAAATCAAACTTGATGTCTCTGTGGTTCTGTGTCACAGACAGCAGCGCGAGTCGGAAACCTCAGACGACAGCGACATCGAGGAGAGACCGCCCTCAAGCTCTGTTTCCCATTGGTGATTAGTGTGTGGGTGTTGTGTGTGGCTGTGCTTGTGTGTGGTGTCGTGTGGTGTGTGTGGTGTGTGTGTTGTGTGGTGTGGTGTTTGTGTGTGTGGTTGTGTGGTGTGTGTGTGTGTGTGTGTGTGTGTGTGTGTGTGTGTGTGTGTGTGTGTGTGTGTGTGTGTGTGTGTGTGTGTGTGTGTGTGTGTGTGTTTCTCTCTCCATTATGGTAATTATGAACGTCAGCAGAGTGTGTACTTACTCATTTAAAAGGTCGATATGCATGAAATGATGTGTATTGTTTTCATACTGTCTCTTTTTTATTCTAATCTATAACTTATTCATTATTGATAAATCAAGTATTTCTGTTTCTGACTTTCTTTCCCTTTCTCAGAAAAAGCGCACGCCCCCAAAGCGCGGAGGACGCGGCTCTGCAGGAAGCTCAAAGGCCGGCAGTCGCCCCGGGACCCCGTCCATAGACTCTGCCGCCACCTCCAACACACTCCGAGCTGCTGCCAGCAAGCTGGAGCAAGGTCCTGGATCGTACACACACATTCATTATAACTAAATAAGACACTTGACACATAACTATGAAAGCTCTCGTTCTTCCGTTCCATCTAAATCTCTGATCCTTGCAGGTAAGAGACCGCCTCCGGGGCCCAGCACGGACTCACCTGCTGCCAAGAGGCTGAAGATGGAGCCCAGCAGTCAGAGCCCCGCCCCCTCTGGGAAGAGTACGCCTCAACCCCCGCCTGGGAAATCTACTCCTAGCTCAAGGTACTTCACTATAACCAGTCGGACCATTTCTTTTTTTTTTATTATTTTGTTTATTCCACACATGGCAGTTATTTTAAAACAAAACATGTACACTTTGTATAGCGCATGGTGGAAAGGAGCAGGGAGAAGAACAGCTTATTTTACCTGCCCCTTTTTAGGCATTTCATTTTTCTCCGATTACAATGCAAGTCAAATGTAATATGTATGTAATGTAAATAACTTCCTAGTCTGTCTTTCCCAATCTCAAAGCTATTCAGTTGATTAGAATTGAAGCCTCAGGTCTAGATCACATTTAAGAAGATTGAAGACTCTGGATTCAGAGATCGTTCCATATTTACAGAAAGAATGTGTGCATGGAGACTTGAACTAGTGACTATCCGGTTCCCAAGCCATGTCCTAAAAGCTAAGCTTCTGCTGCCATATTTAATCTCAATCTTTATTTATTTATAAAGCACATTTTAAAACAACCTCAGTTGACCAAAGTGATGTACAGGGAACACATATAAAATAGCACAATAGGCTTAAAATAATAGAACAATAATTAAAAACAAGATAAGAAGCACAATAACTAGAGATATATGAAAACACATACAAATATCAAAATGCTATAATTACAAGCCAGTGCAAAGAGGTGAGGTTTTAGCTGAGATTTTATTTTATTTTTATTTTTTTAAACGTTTTTCAAATATGTAACTTTTGTGAACAGGATAAAAACGATGTTCTTTTCTCTCCGTCTCCTCCACAGTGACGTGCAGCTAACAGAGGAGGCGGTGCGGCGCTACCTGATCCGTAAACCGATGACCACCAAAGACCTGCTGAAGAAGTTCCAGACCAAGCGCACGGGTTTGAGCAGCGAGCAGACGGTCAACGTGCTGGCTCAGATCCTGAAGCGCCTCAATCCCGAGCGCAAGAACGTGAACGAGAAAATGCATTTCTACCTAACCGAATAAGCGATGGAAGAAAGGTATTAAGTGGCAGGGGGGTGGAAAAGGGGTGGGGGGTGGGGGAAATGAACCTCTTCAGTCAGAAAAGTACGATCTGTGGAAGAGAGGCTTTGTGTCTGTGTCTTGATTTTGTTTTTCTTGCACTGAAATCTAACAGTAAATAATGGAAACCGTGTTATTGTTGACTGAAAACAACTACATTTCTATAGTTTCTCTGTGGTGAGCCTAGAGCCCACTGGATTAAAGAAAAAGTCTTTAACTTGTTTTTCGTAGGTAGAATTTTCCCAATAAAATTTGAAAAATCAGCCGCTTGTCTAAGGCTTTACTTGTATCCCCATATCCCTCATATACTTATCTTCCTCATAGTTTTAGAGGGGTGGTGTCCAATTCAGTCGTTTGTGATGTGTTTTGCAAAGTATCCCATATTTGCAAATGACTGTTTTTGAAGTCCTATGTTTCTTATATTTATTATTAGATCATGTTTATGCCCTTTTCAAATCAGTTTAATTTGTGTTTTTAAGAAAAGTGTAGATAAAACCCTGTTCCTTTTGAGATTAAAAGTTGAAGAGGCTCCAGGACACTAGAGAATATGTTCAGCGTTGTTTAATGTAGAACTTTACAAACAATCATTTATTTAAAGAAACTTGCTTTACAATAGAATAGTGATCATTTTCAGCCCGGTGATGGTCCCTTCATGTCCGGGCAATGTCATAGTTGGCCACGAACCAGTCGCAGGTCATCTTGATAGCTTGGAGAAGAGAAAAAACAACAATTTCAGAATGCTGAGTGCATGCAAATGTTCATTCAAAGCTCTTATTTCAATCAGGAGAGACTTTGTTTTCTTTAAAGAACATTTATTGACACAAATGTTAAGTCTTTGGCGATTAAACCCCCGATCCTGAAATCGTATATCTGAAGGGGGGGATGCAGCCATGAGCATATAGGGAACCCCCCCCAGGGGTCTAGACCAGTGGTTCTCAACTGGTGGGTCGCGACCCACTTTTGCGACCCCGTTTCGAGTGGGTGTGAGTAAAAAAATGTTAAATAAATTTTTTTGTTTGTTTTTTGGGAAAAAAGTCATATTTTGAAGGCCCAATTCTCTAACGCTGTGCATGCAGTAGGCGTTGGACTGGAAGTACCGGAGACCATAAACGGTTTTGAAAACTTCTTTCACGTAGTGATCATCTTCAAGTAATTCACACAGACTATCTCCTCTTTGCTCTTCTCTCTGTGAGGAGCAGCAAGTTCAGCTGTCGGAACAAAGTGAAAAACAAACAATGGCATAAAATGTTATTAATATGTCGGCTAGTAATAGATTAATTTATTTTCTTCTCAGTGTGCCAGAATGCGTAGTTTAAATTAGTCCAGCAGATATGTGAAATAATTGTGCTTTTGATGATAAAACATGAACTTTGGCACACTTACGGCACGTCCACACTACAGCTTCGACAGCCTCAAAAACGGTTTCCAACGCGTCTGCCCATTCACTTTGAATAAAGTGAATGGGCAGACGCGTTGGAAACCGTTTTTGAGGCTGTCGAAGCTGTAGTGTGGACGTGCCGTAAGTGTGCCAAAGTTCATGTTTTATCATNATGTTTTTTAACGCACATTCCGAAAACACAGGACTTTGCCCGGAGAACGGGGACGTTTTGGTCACTCATCCGACTGTGTTTACAGCTAAGCACACATGCTAACATTAATTAAGACTACAAGCTCACTTGGGGTTGAGGCTTGTTTACACGTTGCTTGACTGCCTGCCCACATATCTGATCTAAACATAGTAACGTGTGTTGGGGAAAAAAAATATTTAAAGTTATTTAATAATTGTGACATTTATTTAACTTTTCGATGGATGAATGATGCTCAAAGTGAGGGGGCAAATAAGACAACTGAGGGGGCAATGCCCCCTTTTGCCCCCTCGTGGCACCGGGCCCACGGGGTGGGATACATGGATGACGTTTGATGATGTGGAAGAGGGGTGGAAGCAGGCCCGCCCCTCCCTACACACAGATCACGCAGACTGGGTGGGGCCCTCACCTCTCGGAGGGGGCCTCACCTCGCGGAGGGAGCCCTCATCCGAAGCGCAAATGCGGGCCACCTTTATTCGCTTATGAGGCGCAATTACTGTAAGCGTGCCACAGTTTTGCCGCTGCGAGGCTCCGGCGTATGCTCCCTGAATACCAGATACATGGAATTAGCTACATTCTAGCATGTTGTACTTAGTACCACTGCATTCCCCATCCTTGAAAATGTAGGATTAGCCACCAGAATCAAGATCCTAGGTGGTCTAGATCCTAAGCTACTGGTAAAATAACAACCAATGGCGGCCATTTAAAAAATGTCCACCATTGGCGCCATTGGACAAATATGCGATGGCCCTATAGCCAAACATCTTTCTCAGGGCATGCTCTAACAGTGTGCCAAAGTTCATGTTTTATCATCAAAAGCACAATTATTTCACATATCTGCTGGACTAATTTAAACTACGCAT